GCCAAAGCAAGCCCAAGCAAAGCCAAGACAAGCCAGCCAACCTCCACATGGTGCTCCTTGGTGGAGCCCCGCGGCCGGGAGTTGCTGTAGGAAAACAACATGAATAATAAAACCCTCCCAAAAGTGCCCGGCGGGAGGTGCGGGGGTGGCAGAGGGCTATCGCCACTAGCTTAAGCAGGAGACATCGACGGGGAGGTGACAGCGGCTGGAAGTGCGCAGCTCCTCTGCGCGCAGAGCCGGCTGCTCCTTGACAGGGCTCAGGGCCATTTTTAAAGCTTCCTACCATGAAAATGTCCCCCGCACGGGTAAATTAGAAGGTTTTACCCTCCAGCCCCTGCTCCCGGCCTTTGCTGGTGCGTGGCTCTGGCCCACGGCTGCCCACGCGTGTCGGGAACAAGCAGACGGGGCGATGCGCGCAGGGATGCGCGCAGCAAAGCGCAGCTCCCCGCGGAGCTCCGACCGCTCCTCCGGGCCGGAATTTGCTGCTGCGGAGTACCGGGGGGAGATGTCCGTCGGTGCGGTGTCCGTCGGGGGTCCTGCCCCAAACAGCATCGCCCCCCCCTAGTCGTGCGGCCCCGCGCAAGGCAGAGCTCAGCGCTCCCCGCTGCCACTGTAGCTGCCCCCTGCTCCCCTCCTCTGCCACGGCCCTAAGAGGAAGGCGAGCATCCCCCAAATCACGGCGGCCACGGAACGAGCCCCGCAGCCCTGCGGGATGCCCTCCTGCAGCAGGAGCCGGGTGTCCCCGCGGGCGGCCGGGACTGGAGGACGGACAGAGGGAAGCCAGAGAGAGGGGGAAGAAACCCAGCCGAGAGAGCATGTTAAATCGCTCAGGGAAGGAAGGTGGAAAATTACGCTGGCTCTTAGCCGGCCTGTCCTCCTCTGCGCAGCCAGGAGAGCAATTTTCCTAAGAAGCTGAGCAAAACGAAATCAGCCCCTTTTGGATCCGCAGCCCCCGTCGCTCCTCGGCCCGGCCAAGCCTCCGCCTCCGCGGGCGCGCAGGGCCCCTCCGCGCAGCGCTGCGCCGCTGCTGCTCACCGGCGGCTTTCCCCGGCCCCCCTGGCCCCCCAAAGCCCCCGATGCGCCTCTGCCCGCTGCCAAAGAGCATGGGCCGGGGGGGCTCCGCGCTTCCCTCGGCCCGGCCGGCCCTGCCCCACCGCCCCGGCCCTCCCCGCTATTCACACCCAGGGGGGGGAAACTGAGTTTTCTGGGGAGAAAATTATTATTATTTTTTTCTTTCTGGGGGCGTTCGGCCTGTGGCACCTCGCGGGACAACCGGTGTGTGCCGGAGCCTGCCGGAGCCCCGCTGCAGCTCGTCCCGGGCCCCAAGCCCCTCGGATCCCCCCCGGCCCGGGGCTGCCCCAAGCGCCGACGGCCAACGGCAGCGCTTGCAAAAACTGGGGATGAAAAAGCTGAAGGCTTAATGTTTTCTGACAGATACAAATGATACCCCAAGGCTTTCTTGAAACGCAACGACTGACGGCTGGAGGAACGGTTTTTCCTATTCGGGTTTGTGCAGCTGGAAGCAGGCAGGGGGGTTCCCCTCGGCCCTCCTCCCCCGACCCTCGCCCCGAAAATAAAACCATCTCCCGAGCCTCCTCCTGGGCTGATTTCTCCCTAAATGCCAGGCACCACGGTCCCACCCCGAGCTGCTTTCGCGGCCCTTTCCGCATCCTTCAGGCCACGAACACCGAAGCGTGCTCCGAGAAAAGGCACCCGAAAAACTGCTGCTGGCAGCCCACGGGCAGGCGCTGGGCAGCCGGGGGACCCGGGGGGCTTTTTCTCTGGGTGGGGGGAAGAGAAGGGAAAAGTCCAATACGGTCCCACAGTTCCCTTTCCGAGCAGAGGGAACATGCTTTTCTTATTAATTGATGGAGGAAGGGGCAGCGGCGCTTGCTAGGTAGCCTGCTCATGTTACTCTGGGCATCTTTACATCCGAAATGTGTTTTGTAGACCAAAAAAGATGCCTCTGATGGAAGATTATCAAAGGCCCTGGCACCCCCTTGGCATTTGCTGGGATCGTTCTTCCGCAGAAAAGGAGGCAGCGTTTGGAACCACCGGTATTATGTTTCCTTGTGGGTTTCCCCCACCTTGTTTCAGGCGAGCAACCTCTTAATTGCTGCAGTGTATGGATGGGGGAAACACATTTCCCCTAAACACAACATTTCCTGAAAGGCTGAAATATTCTAATAACGCGCTGGGCTCTTTAATGTTCTCAGAACAGCAGCGAATCTCTGCAGAGCCCCACGTTTCCTGCTTCAAAAAGCAAAATCGGAGAAACAATTCACCTTTGTGTGCCTTCAGCTCCGATTTTCTTTTCTTTTTTCCCCCCAGCTCTCCCCCAGGGCACACTGACCTCCCCCTCTGCCGGCGGCCCCGCTCGGTCCCGGGGCCCGGGGAGCAAACCCCGTCGGGATGAGGCTTGGGGACACTTTTGGGGCCGGTTCCCCTCGGGAAGGGCCGTGTGGGACCGGGACATCTCGGGGCACACCGCCTGCAAGAGGGCTGCGCTAATCAGCGCGCGAGGTTAGATATAAAAGTCGAGGGCAAATAAAACGAATTAGTTTTATTAGCACGTTTAGGAGGCGGTCTAACGAAGGAATTCGGCTTTACTAGAGAATGTTTTCTCCTCCCCTTTTGTTATTTAAAAGCAGCATCTATCCGGGCTGCTCATCACGGGAGGGAAATAACGCATCGCTCACCCCGCAGTCATTTTCTCGGAGCAAGGCGCTCCCTTCCCTAAGCCCGGCGAGCAGGCTGTACCCTTGGAAATACACGATTTCATAATAAAATCTGCGTGAACAATAAAAACCAACTGTAAAGGACAGGCTGCAGAGCCCGCCAGGTTATTGTTCGGCGGTGGGTTTCGGTAGGAAATATCTGCCTCGCTCACAGGCGAGATTAACTCGGCTAAAACTTTCCCGGGAAGCCTTGCCACAGCTCCAGCACGGGATTTCCAGGACCCTGTCCGTATTTCAGGCAAAAGAAGGATTTTTGAGGAGGTTCTCCAAGCGAAGTAGCTCTCAGCGATTATTTGGAAGTCAATTTTTAGATCAGCGGCTCAAGCTGGCGCTGGGAATAGCGCGGAGAACACGCACCTTGGTTTGTTAAGTGGAAATTATGTATTTTAAATTTGTTATAAAGCAAGCAAACGGCGTCTCGGTCCTCACTACACGCACTTGAGTATTGTTTTTTGTTCAATTCGTGCCTCGGCGTTTGTGTTCGCTTACAGCGAGGTTGGCAAAATTTAAGGAGAGAGGACGAAACAACAGAAAGCCCTCCTAGGGACAATTATTTTAGCGCGACACCTAGAAAACTCTTCTAAAGATGCCGTTAGTGGGGAGCCTCGCAGGCTTTCAGCAGGGTTAACACGCAGAAAAAATAAACCTTTTTCCACACCCTCCAAGAATTTCGCTCCCGTTGTGCGCAGCGTTATCCCGGAGTGGTGCTGCGAGACACGCACCCTATGTAGCTCCTAAAAAGTGTCTTTTTTTTTTTTTTTTCCAATAAAAAAGAAAAAATAAATAAAGCGAGAAAGAAAGAAAAAAAAAAAAGCAAAGTAGAGGCACTGCGGAATATTCTTTTTCTGAGCAGGGAATTAATTCATCGATGGCCCAGGCTCTGTCCCGCGAGCCTCCTCCGCGGCCGCGCAGCCCCGGCGGAGCCTCCCCAGCAGCCGTCGGGGGTGGGGGGGGACAAGGAGCACCCCCGGCCCTGCCACCTGCCCCCGGCTCGGCCCCCACCGGAGCCCCCCTGCTCCTTCCCCTGGTGCTGCTGCTGCCGCCGGTACAGCCCCGGGGCCGGGCACCGGGCAGCGGCTGCGCCGTGGAGAGCCCCGAGCAGAAGGGCTGGGGGCTGAAAAAGGTGTGTTGGGGTAGAGTAGGGTAAAAGAGAACAGAGTAAAAGAGAATGAAATAGAATAGAATAAAATAGAGTAGAATAAAATAGAGTAGAATAGAATAGAGTAGAATAGAATAGAGTAGAATAGAATAGAGTAGAATAGAATAAGGTAGACTAGACTAGAGTAGAATAGACTAGACTAAAATAAAATAGAAGAAAATGGAATAAAATGAAATGAAATGAAATAAAATAAAATGAAGTAAAATAAAATAAAATGAAATAAAATAAAATAAAATAAAATAAAATAAATAACATAAAATAACATAAAAATGAAATAACATATAAAATGAGGTAACTCCTCTGGAATTGCATTTCCCAGCGCATTTGTCAGGGCTGACGAAGCGCAGAGGCCCCGAAAGAATTTATGCGCGGTGTAAAAAGATGTCAAGGGCCGCGGCCGGGCGCGGAGCGCGGAGCGGGGCCGGCGGCGAGGCGAGGCGGCGGCGAGGGGCGCGCCCCCGGCCCCGCTTTGTCTCCCGGCCCGGCCCCGGGAGGCTCCGCACCTCCGGGCCGCCACCCGCGGGAGGCGAGAGGGGGGAGCCGGGGGCGGGCCGTGCCCCACGGGACACGCGTGGGGGCTCGCGGCGAGCGCCGGGCACACGCGTGGGGGCGCGCACCGGGGCCACCGGGGAGAGGTGGGGGGGGAGCGCGGGGTGGACACGCGTGGGGGCGGTCCCGGGGGGGGACACACACGCGTGGGGGCGGTCCGGGCGCCGGGGGGGGGACACGCGTGGGGCCGTCCCCGAGCACTTACCGGGCGGTGCGCTCGGCGGCGGCGGGGGGCCGGGCCCGGCGGGCGCTGTGCGCGCCCTGCCCGCCGCTGCGGGCTTTTCTTCGGAGATTTCCCCGTCTCCTCCTGACGTCAGCCCCGTCCCAGGGTGCCGCACACGGGGGAGGGCCGGGGGAGGGCCGGCAGCACCGGGACACCAGCACCTCCGTGCCCCGGCTGCGGCATCCCCGGGCCCGGCCCCCTCGGAGCGCGGCCCCGCCGCTCCCGGTGCCGGTGCCGGTGGCGGCCACCCCTCGGGCAGCTCCGTGCTGCCGGCTCCACGGCCCCTGCCCTCCTCATTTCCTCCCGGCTGGTTCGTTTCGTCTGAGGGGGGAGGGAAAGCAACGGCCACTTTTTTTCTTTTTTTCATTTTTTTTTTTTTTTCTCTCCCCCCGAGGAGATGTCCTGAAAAAAGCCCCCGGTGCAGGGTTCAGGGCGGGGGGAGGCAGCAAGCAGCGCCCAGAGCTGGACGGGGCCCGGAGGACACACGGTCGGGGAGCTCTGCTGCCCTGCCAGCCAAACATCCATCCCCAGGCCCTTTGTCCAGCTTCGTTTTCTAGGGGAGCTTCAGAAATTTGAGACGCTTCACTTCCGACATGTGCCCCCTCTTGGGGTTTTGGAGAGCCCAACGGGTCATTTGAAGGGGCTCAGCCCTGAGAAAAAGCACACAAGTGATGCGAGGACCTCACCAACACCACGGGCATGGCTTGTGCTTTGCTAGCTGAGTATATTGCATACACACACACACACACACACAGCCCATAGCCATAGCTGAAAAACAAGGACAACGAATATGGAATGGATCAGAAAGATAAATAGCATAAAATCAGGAACAGTCCAGTCCCACACTTGCCATTTGTTATAGAGAGGAGAAGTAAATGGGATTCACATGTCGAGCATTAGCTGGTTGTTAGTCTGTAAGATAATATTAACTTTAGTGCTTGCTGCTTTACTCCACTTTTCCAAAGGCAGTTCCAGGAGGCGCCCAGCCTGTAATTTAGGATGGCACATACTGTGTGAAAGAGGCTTTGGCACCGGGGCCTACCAGCACATCAAGGTGATATTAACATAATAAAACGTTTGGAGAGCGAGTAGGAGCTCATAAATTAATGCATTCTACTGTTTTAATGCTGGGAGCTAACAATGCGTTTCCTGTGCGGCTGATCGTCCCCGCTGCAGCCTAACAGCTGTTTTAAAGGTGCTGTGAAATTAAAGAAAGGGAAGATGATTGTCTTTAAATCAATGTTTAATGATGTGTTATTAGGAGAAAAGTCTTCCTCCAGCAGATGTTTACATGCTGAGGACGGAGGGGAGCTTCCCGGGCTGTCTGCTTGCCTGAGCAGTGGGGGAGATGTCCCCACGGCCGTCCCCTCCTGCAGATGGCCCCGATGTCCCCAGAGCGGGGTCACAGCTTGCTTGGCGCTGGGCTTGGCTGGGCGCTGGCACCAGGAAAAGCTTTGCCCAGCTCTTTGGGTGGGTGCTGGGGGACGTCCTCCAGGATGATGAATTGCTGCAGGTTTTCAAGGTATTTGAGCAGTGGCTACGGGCAGGTGAATACAGGGATGTTGCCAAGATCCTGCCCATGTTCAGCCCAGGTCAGGGCTGCCAGGATCCGTTCCCCATGAAATCAGATGTGCACGGGGGAAAATCCCTTGCCTGGGAGTTGCTTTCAGGAGGGACAAAGCTCTGAGTGATGTCCCTTGCCCCGAGAGGCAAACAGCTGGTTTACGGCCACGCATGTGGGAGCAGCAGGGCTGGGGTTGCCCAAGGCCTTTGGGCTGCAAGGGTGGATGACAAAGAGGCCCCGTGCCTCCTAGCCCAGGAGCTGGTCCTTGCTGAATGGGTACCATGGGCTGAAGCCTGCCCAAGCTCTTTCCCATGAAGGAAGAAAAAGAAAAAGACTTAGAGGTCAGTAGGACTGGGGCACTAGCAGCAGGCTCCAGGTACTGGAAAAATACACGTGACTTTGAGGCAAGACACAGGGAGCTCCTAGATGTGGTGCCTAAAATAAGGTGGAAATAGAACCTGCAAGTATAAACCTCTCTGTATGTGCCCAAGAGTTGTTATTTCCTTTGTGCTCGATCCAAAGACATATTAATTAGTGTCTGTGCTTCAGCTTCCAGCTTGGAGGATGGCCACCATAGAGCTTCCCACCCAGAGAAGATATCCGATGGATGCAGATGTGAACAACACATGGGGGTTTTGCCCCAAAGACACCGAGGAGTGCAGAGCTGCTGGGGTTCAGGTAGAAATGCCCATCCACTGCCGGGCTCCTCATCGCCAGGTGATGCTCCTGCTGCCAACCAAAGAGGCACCAAACCACCTCCACCCCAACCCAAGCAGTTTCCAGAAGGATGGTTTCCAAAGCCAAGCTCGTATTCTGCATGGTGGTGGCACAAACTGTTCCTGTACAAACAAAAGAACCCCGTGCAGTTGCTTATTTTAATCATCCCAAACATTCATTAATGTCTCTGTGTATTCCCAAATATAGCAAAGAAATCGCTCCCCAAGCTGACCCGCTCCCTCATTCGCAGCCTTCCCTGTTAGTGCAGCCTTGGAATAGTGTCTAGGAGGCCGCACAGCTTCTTTGGGAAAACTGGGATGTTTGGAACATGAGTGGATTTGAGCATTTCTAAACTTCCCAGAAGAGGCAAATCGTAAAGGAATAAACTTCTTTCTGTGCACGCACATTTGCTTTGGAGCCAAATGGAAAGGAGAGATCAGAAAAAAAAATGACAAATTGTTTGGAAAATGTTGTCCTTCCCAAGACAGACCTAACCATATGGGGGGAAGGGACTCAATACGGATTTTTTTCCCTTTAAATTCCAGTCCAGCAGCCCTCCCATTCACTCCGCTGGGAGGTTTGTGTGAGTCAGACCTGCAAGATCATCCATTCAAGGCCGGTAATATTTCCAGCACTTCAGTCCACTCCTATTCCCTGCTGAAGCAAAATGGAAAGGGTTCTCCCCCAAATTTGTGGTGGGAGCAGCGGGAGGGGGCTGAGTGCTCTCCTCGCTGCCTCCCAACTTCTCCCACAGCCCAGCATCGCTGAGGATGAGCTGCAGGGAAGGAAAGGGCAGCGCTGCTCCAGCGCTTAGAAAATGTATCTGTGACTGTGTAGATGACTGCAAAAAGCAAAACGCCGCTGGAACATGGAGAATAAAGCATGAGGATGGGGAGAAGCCCTCTTTCCATCTTTCCAGCCCTGCCCCAGCCTCCTGGTGTGAGCCCAGCGAGGTGCACGAGGTTTTTGTGCCTGCAGCCAACCACCCCCACCTACCCCGGGACGTGTGCAGGTTAAGGCAGGAATGAGGCAAATGGAAGAAGCTTTAAAGGATCAAAATGTACTGATGTTTTCATCGTGCTTGTGAAAGGCTGCTGCAGCGTGCTGGATCACTGAGGACATACCTTGGTTCTTCCTGGACCAAACGAATGGTATGTGGTTACCTTGGTGGTTAGCTGGAGCACAGAAAATGCTTGTTGTGGCAAAGAAATCCTTTTGCTTCTTTCAAATCATTGAATTTATCATCGTTGTCATCTTTAAGTAATAAACCAGCTCTATATTTATGCATCCCCAACTACCAGTGGTGACATTTATGCAACAACAACAAAAAAAAAGCTGAGGCAATTGTGTCCATCGGCAATTAACGGCAGCGTGCGGAGCATGCGAGGCGCTTTGAAGGAGATGTTGGGAAAGAGACTTTTTTTGTGTGTGGTTGTGTTTATCCCCTGGTGACATGCTGCTAACAAGCTGCAAACCAAGGATCACCCACAACAAACAAAAACAAACAAACAAAGTTTTGTAGAGGGTGGTAATACTTAGTTTAATTCTCCGAGGCCTTTAAAAATAATTATAGCCCTGCTTGTGACAACTGGAAGGGCTGCACTTACTCCAATAAAACTGCTTGTTATTCTGTAAGAATGACATTTGGAGATGTTTCCTTATACAATGTAGACATTAATGGGAGGAGATCTCAATCAATGAAATATTGATGCATTTCTCATCTTTGCACTAGCAGGATTTCTGATGCTGCAGCTTGTGGTCAGCTGTTTACTTGCCAGTTAAATCACAACACTTTTAATGACTTTCTAGAGATCTGTCTGAGGACTCACTGCCAAAGAACAGGATCGTGGGGATTTCGGCATTACTGAAAAGTTTCTCAAGGTCTAGACATTGATCCAAGGATCTCTCTACTACAGTTTTATTCCATGCATTAAAGGTATGGGGGGAAAGGGATGAATGGCACATACACTTGAGAACTTCACTACCTTTCCACAAGGTAGCCATCGTCTCTGGCCCCAAAGCATCACCCTGCTGTGCTTTGCCACCCAGCAGTGCCTCAGCTGTGCACCTGCTGGTGTAGTGCTGGATCCCAACATGCCTCGTGTCAGACCTTGAATTTATTTAAACCAGCTTCATAGGCCTTGGTGGGAGAAGGAGCCCTGTAGAGATGTAGATACTCACTTCTACCTTCAGCTGTGAAGAATTTAGCTTTGGCTTTAGCAGGACTAAGCAGACATTTAAGGATAACTTCGTGCTCACTCGTGGAGAGGTGACTAACGGCAGAGAAGTGCAGTATTTGGGAACCTGTCACTGAATAATTCCTTTATTCCTTCATCTTCCCTAGGGATCAGCTCTGGGCTGTGGTGGGAGGCAGGAGAGGGGGTTTTGGCCTGGCCCAGCCTCTCCCATTCCTGACGTGGGACGGTGCCATGGATGGGGACTTCCCGGAGCCAGCCCTGCCTCCTCTCCTGCCGTCGGACATCCCCGTCGTGTGCTGTCACTGCTGGATCTGCAATGATTAATGACTTCCAAAGTTGCTCTAAAACTATCCGAGTGCCTGCTGAGCCATCTGAAACTCATCTCCACTCTGCGCATGGGTCCCCAGCGTTAGTTTTTCAGGTGACCATGCTGGCCTGGGGGTGGAAATGAGGAAAGCACACGTTCCTTGGCAGGAGCTCCGCACCGAGAGGCGAGACGCACGGCGCTTTCTGGCAGCGTGCGCGGGGCCTCATGCAAATGAAAACTGATGGCTTAATATTTTGTTACATTTTTCCCACCAGAGCGATTACCTCCTAATTGCAGGGATGGATTAAACCGAAGAGAGGGTGCTGGTTCAGGGAGAGCTGCCATGTGTTGGCCTTGAGCTGTCACCGGGAAGCGGGGGCCGTGCCTCTGCCCTCCCGCTCCTGCCTTGTGCTGGGTCTTGTCCCTCCTCGTGCAGCCTCCCCACGCCCAGCTGCTTGCCCACACGCTGAAATTTGGGCACACGCAGAGTGCGAGGTGGCATTTCCGAGGGAATGTGCTCTTTCTGTGTGGTTCCAGGGGTTTGGGAGGGCGCAACAAACTCTGCAGCAATTTCTCAATGTGCGTCTCATTACTCGGGGACGGACCGTACAAAGCTGTATTTAGATGACCTCTTTCTTTGCCAAACCTATCCCTGAGGTCTGCTGAATTCAGCAAGGCAGAAATGAGAGGCAGCTTCCAGGGGAAGCCTGAGAGCAGTCGGCGGAGCTGATGTGACAAAACATCACTTATGCACCTCTGCGTATTTTCCAGCAGAGCTTGGCGCTGGGCTGAGGATGCTCAAGGTGAATTTGGCAGCTGCACATGCAAAGACCTGCTGGGAGTTGCTATGCCCAAAGGTTTGTGCTGCATGACTTCCTTGAGGAGCTTCTGGCAGTGCTCCTGCAGGATCCTGCTCCTGGGCCAGAGGACAGGGTCCTGCTGAGGATGCCCAGACCTCCCCACCTCTGCTCTCCTTGGACCTGTGTCTGTTTCAGGTGCTGTCTGAACACTGCATTGCCAGATTTCTGGCCCAAGGCAGACGTTGATGTCTCTGTCTTTGATTCACCACAATCAGCATCATCTTTTACCTGGCTTTTGCTATGCAGATTTACATAGTTCAGCATTTCAGCTGTTTTTAAAATTGCCTTTTATCCCAAGCTGCTGTTTTATTACACACTGCTCTCAGCAGTCCCCTCTTTCCTTTAAGCCCTCTTCCTCAAAACTCATTTGAAAATCCCAGGTGAGGATCACACAGGGTCTGAAGTCCCTGCAGAAGAGGTGAGAAGGAGAGATGTTTCTTATGCCTGTTTTAATAATGCAGACAAAATAATGGGTTTGTCACCACCACAGGGCACAAGCAAGTTTCCATACCGTGCTTGCACAGGGCAGAGCTGGATGGCTCCTGGAGCAGGGCTGTGCCTCTGGAGGTGCTGTCCCAGCTGGGAACTGCCCGTGGTTGGGGAGAGGAGGCATTTCTGTCTGCTGCAAATACAGAGCATGCCGAAAACACGTTTCCTCCAAAAGTATAAAAGGGCTGGTCCACCTCCTGCTGAAGCATGATGAAACTAAGTGAGAGATGCTCACAGCGATGAAAGAGAAAGAAGATAAATGAGTCTGGGTGCAGATATTTGGTATTTAGGAAGCCAATGAATTGTCCACGTATGCATATTAAAAACACCTTTAGCATTTTCGTTTTCCCAAAGGGACCATCTACAGAAGAAGACTAACCTGGGGCTCTCCCAGTGCCGGGGCTGACCACAACATAATCGCCAAGACTAGGTGGAAGGTTAAAACTAAACACCTGTGTGGAAAGCCTTTGCAGCAGAGAAGTCTGTGTTTGCCTGTGAGCAAGAGAATAAAGGCATTCATCCAGCTCGATGAAATACTGGGAGATGTATGGGTGGAAAGTGCTAAGTATTACAATTATTATTTACTATATATTAATATTAGTTATTCAGAGGATTTGTGTGTGGAGGAAACTTGGAGGATCTGGTCTGGCTCTGTGTGTGCCAGGACTCTCAAGGGATTTTTTAGTGTCTACCACAATTATAGATGAGGACTGAGTGAAACCTTGTGGTTTTACTCTACAAAACATTAAATTCAGCGACTGCCCATGTTTTCAGGGGAAAAAAAAATATGAATGAAAAAAATCTTTCAGAACGTATTTAAGCAGCAGTTCAATGGCGTGGCAGGAGTGGAGGCTCTTTATTAAAAGGGATCACCCTAGGGAAAACTGTAGGTTCGGGCTCTGCACCATAAAAGCAGACACTGTGCTCAGGGTGGCAGCTATTTGAGTTTTCCTCTCTGTCCCCAAGCCTGCAGGGAGGATCCACCTGCACGACCTGCACACGGAGCTGGTTTTGCCTCTGTTGTCTGTAGTTGTCAGTGTTTTGTGTGAAGACACACCTGAAGAGCCCCCTCTTACCGACCTGGGGACGTTTGTTGTGTTTTGAAAGACGACACGTCTTTCTGGGTGACCTGTGAAAACCGCCAGAAAACATTTAAGGTGTGTTTGTGCAATTGCTTATTGTAAGTCTCGGGATTAACGAGTGCATTTAGATGTTTAGTTTTAAGGACCAGAGTTTATTCTGCTTCTCGCTTAAGTAAACACTGGGAGTTTGGCTCCCCCAGCCCGGATGAGACCTCTGGTTCACCAGGTCTGCTATCCTGCCTCCAGCTCCAGCCCACGGCTGCCAGTGGGAGCTGTGGGGCCGGCTGGGCATGGCGCTCCCTGTGGCTGGGCAGCGAGCCCTTCGGTGTCCTGTTAGCCCTGAGGCACCACAAAGAGCTGGAAACGCTTCTTCTGAAGAGCCTTAGATCTTCAAAGGCTGCACCTGCAGACCTGCCAAAGCTCAGATTTTTCCACACCTTGGCCATGCCTGCAGTGAGAAACCTCCTGCCTGCTCTTGTCCCTGCATCACATCTCTGCAGAGCTCTCCCTGACGTGCCAGGCCCATGGTGGCAGCTCACAAGTAGAGCAATTCCTGGTGGTTATGGACCCCAGGTTCCCTTCAGCCCCTGTAACCACTCCTCCCACTGCTGTGGTGTGTCTGAGCCGAGCTGCGGTCTGTTTTTTTTTTTTTTTTTTTTTTTTTTTTTTTTAATTTTCAACCCTTATGTGACATATAATAACTCTGAGCTGTATTATAAGCCAAGATTACAAGGTACGACACGAGGTGAAACACTAGATGGGAAATGAGGATGCATGAAGGATTTTGTACAAAGGAAGCAACCCACTGTGCATGAACTGGGGAGCTGCTCGGGGCAAGCTTTAGGATTTGATGGATTATTATCCCTGGGATCTAGTGTTAGAGAGCATTTACTTATGATAACACCCCAGTCCTCCTCCTCCCATGATGTTACAGCCGTGGGGCTCTGAAGGACTCAGGACACTTCTCCTGGTCCCCCTCTGCCCCGATCCTCATGGTGTGGGGATCCCGGTGCTGGTCTGGCACTCCTGAGCCCATCTGGGTGCATGGGGTGCTCTGTGCCCTGCGCCCAGCCCTGCCCACATGGCAGCCCTGCACCCCATGCTTTTCACAACCCCTCAGAAAGGAGAGGTTCCTGTTCTGTTCCCACCTCGTGCTGCTGCTCAGCATTTCCAATCCCCTAATTACGATGCAAATGCAGTGACTCAGATCCTGATGGACGGCTCCTCCAGGCGTCTTCCTCTTCTTGGGTGACTGACTCCTCCCCATCCGAGGCTGGATGGAAGCTCTCCTGTCAAAACACTTGGAAATCTTTATATATATATATGTATATATATGCACACACATATATTTTTAATAT